GTTCTGGCTTTAGAGCTAAGGATAGAAGAAATGGGTTATGGAATTTGCTACCACACCTAAAGAAAGCTGCTTAGGCCAGGCATGTGTCAGGGATATCCCTGAATGGAGGCTTAGTATCGAGGCCATTGCATGAAGCTGTAAAGTTGAAGCCTAAATTGCTTTGGAGAAGCCAAGATATTAGATATGACAGAGTCACAGGATACCTCCCAAGGAGAGCTGCTAACAGGGACTGGAACCAGCCAAAGAGAAAGAAGTATATTGCAGTCAACAAAGCTGAATGGAGTTGGAGATCTGAAGAGCACTTTGACATCTGATTAGGAGATGCAGAGTTTGGAGTTTGCCCAGACAGTTTTCAGTCTTGCTTTGCTCCAGTATTTCCTCAATATGCACCCTTCCCTAGGTTTTGGAATGGTAATATATATCCTGTGCCATTATATGTTGGACGTATGTGAGCTGCTTTTTTCATTTTGCTTAAATAGGGAGTTACAGTCAAGAGACTGTATGAATCTCAGAAGAGACTTTGAACTTTGGACTTTTAAACATTGTTGAGACTGTGATAGACTTTTTTGAAGTTGGACTAAATGCATTTTGCATTATGATATTGTTACAAGCTTATGGAGGCTAGGGAGTGGAATGTGACAGTTTGAATGTAATTGGCCCCCATAATCTCATAGGGAGTGACACTATCAGACTGAATCTCTGAACTGTAAGCCACCAGCTTAATTAAATGTTTTTCTTTATAAGAGTTGATGTGGTCATAATGTCTCTTCACAGCAATAGAAACCCAAATTAAGACACATATGACCTCTTTCCTCTAGCTAGCCCCTAATTCTGTGACCGTTTCCCAATAAAGCCATCATATTATGAATCCATCAATGGATTAAGCCATTCATTAAGTTATCAGTCTTATGATCTAGTCACCTACGGGAACACCATCATAGACACAGACAGTATGTCACTAATCTCCTAGGCATTTCTTCCTTCCTTCCTTCCTTCCTTCCTTCCTTCCTTCCTTCCTTCCTTCCTTCCTTCCTTCCTTTCTTTCTTTCTTTCTTTCTTTCTTTCTTTCTTTTTAAAGATTTATTTATTTATTATGTATACACTGTTCTGCCTGGATGTATGCCTTCACACCAGAAGAGGGCACCAGATGTCATTACAGATGGTTGTGAGCCACCATGTGGTTGCTGGGAATTGAACTCAGGACCTTTGGTAGAGCAGCCAGTGCTCTTAACTGCTGAGCCATCTCTCCAGCCCACCTAGGCATTTCTTAAGTCAATCAAGTTGAAAAGATTAACCATCCAGCATAGGAAATAAAATTTATAGGATACCATTGTTTTAGACCAAGTTTCTGCACTAGGCCCAACAGGCCAGACCCAAGTCAAACATATCAAGTAATCAAATTGAACTCAGAAACTATGGTGGTTTGTATAAAAATGGCCCCTATACAAAAATAGGAAGTTGGCCAGGCAGCAGTGGTGCATGCCTTTAATCCCAGCTCTCTGGAGGCAGAGGCAGGTGGATCTCTGTGAGTTTGAGGCCAGCCTGGTCTACAAAGTGTGTTCGAGGACAGGTTCCAAAGCTACACAGAGAAACTTTGTGTCAAAAAAACAAAAAACAAATAAAACAAAGTAAAAAAAGTTGTCATGGTTATGGTGTCCCTTACAGCAATAGAATACTAGACAGAAACCAGGCCTATTTTTCAAAATAAAACAAAACAAACTAACAAAAACAGGAAGATTCATAGCTGGCCATTCAGAAGAGCCTTAGTTTACTAAAGTAACTGGGGAATTTATCTTTTAACAAGTCCTGAGACATCAGCAGGCCTCCAGACCTTAGTAAAACTGACTCTATGATGGAAGTACCATTCAGGCCATAAAACTCAGTACTTAGATAATAGTACCACCTGCCAAAATGAAAACAGACCCAATCCATCAAAGTTCTGGGAAAGTCTATAAGTGTCCCCTGAGACTAAAAAGTCTCTAGATTTTTGGCCTCTGTAGTTTTGTTTCTGGATAGCTGTTCTTGTTAACTGAAGTATATCAACCCATATCAGGGACAATGGGGGTCCAGCCCCTCTATAGTCCCCTCCAGGGTCCAGGAAGAATCTACAACCAGCTGATAATTAATCTTTAATGAAAAGAAATGAATCTATGTACACGAAACTCCTTAGTCCATATACTTTATTATTCTGTGACAGTTACAAACTTATATTCTGCTCTCATATTTAGGTCATCTTTAACCTGATTTCTCTCTACACTTGTCTGCGATCCCCTCTATGTTCTACCTTAATTCCTTCATCTAGTTCTGTCCCTTCTAGGTTCTCATCTATCTAGTTCTTTCTCCTATCAGCTCCTCTCCCATCTCCTTCTCTCTCATCTGGCTCTTCCTCATCTTGTTCTTCCCCATCTGGCTCTTCCTCATCTTCCATCTTGTTCCTCTAGTACTCTCCTGTAGCTCTTCAATCTACTTCTTCCCCATCTCAGTTCGTTCCTCTCAAGTTCTTACCCATCTAGTTCTTCCATTCTCTTCTCTCTTCTCCCCCTTGTGCCCTGGAAATCTCGGTATATAAAGGGAGGGTCCGAGCTAAATTGTGTAAAACTATTACTTAACGTCCACCTTTCCTAGGCGGTGTCTCCTTGTGGAATTTACCGTAAGTCAGGAGACTTGCATGTGGGCTATTATTGTTATTGTTGCATTGTTAGTCCCACCTGGAGAGAGTGATCAGTCTACACTGTTAGCCCTTCTTAGGGAAAAGTCAATTGGGAAAACTATGAAGGCACACATGATTTTCATAACAGAACACAGCTGATATATAACAAGCCAAGTAACATCAAAAACTCCTTGGGATTTGGCTTCCTCTGGAGGAATTCCCTGATTCCTCCAGGTAGTGACTTTGCCATAACCAGCTGAGTTCTTATGATATATTCCTGCGGCCTGCAGCAAACCCAGAACATGGTTTTTGTGCTTAAAAGCTCACCCTGAGAAATGCTCAGGGCTACACTGGGATCCTGAACACCCAGTGTAGCCACCGGCCAGCTAATAATGACTTTCTATTGGCTCAAACCCATGTCTGAGCAGTCTTCTCTGGTGAATACCCCACAACAGTATAGGTTGAGGAAATGGTTAAGGTGTAAAGTGCTTGTCAGGCAAGCATGAAGACCTGAGTTGGGATCCCCAACACCTACATGAAAGTAGTGTCACTGTAATCCAAATTCTGGGGAGGCAGAGACAGGATGGTCCAGAAAGTCTAACCAATCAGAGAGACTCTGTCTTAAAAAATAAAGTGGAGGGCTAGGGAGATGATGGTCAGTGGGTACAGTGCTTACTGTGCCAGCAGGAGAACCTGAGTTCAGAACCTTAGCATTCTCAAAAAAGTCCAGTAAAATGACACACATCTGTTACATCAGCCCTGAGTGTGTGTTTGGGGGCAGGAGTGAGGGGCTAGCAGATCCTGACCTAGCTGCAATGTCTAGCTGCAATGTCAAGTTCCAGGATCAATAAGAGACTCTGTCTCAAAAAATAAGAAGACACCCGACATACCACTGGACTTCATAAGTGCACACATGGGCAAGTGTGTACCCATACACTTGTACACATGTATACACACACACACACACACACACACCAATAAATTATTTAAATGAGGCATTAGAGAGATGGTTAAGCAGTTAGGAGCACTTGGCTTCTTCTAGAGGACCAGGTTCAATTCCCAGCACCCACGTGGCAGCTCCCAACTGTCTGTATCTCCAGTCCCAGGGGAACTGGATGCCCTCTTCTGGCATTTTACACATGTGGCGCACAGACAAACATCCAGGCAAAACACCCATACACATAAGTAAGAAATAAACTTTAAAAAATGTTAAAGAGATTTTTAAAATATTTAAATGAATTTTTATCAAAGTTACATAACATAAATTCACCATTTTAGAGTGGGTTATTCAGTGGCTTTTAATATATTCACAATATTGGGCAACCTCTTTCCAGTTCCAAAACTTTTTCATCATCTGTAAGTGAAACTCCCATACCTATTATGTAATTACTCCCCATTCCCTCGCTCACTGATGACTGCCAATTTGTGCTTTTTGTTCTTTGTCCCTGCTTTTTCTAGCCCCTTTCTGCCAATAAGGCCAACCTTTTCTCAGTTCATATATTAGATCTTTACATTTGTGTGTGTGTGTGTGTGTGTGTGTGTGTGTGTGTGTGTGTGTGTGTGTTCCTAGAGTAAGATTTAATGCTGCGGGAAAAGCCAAGATTATGGAAAAAATGATTTTTTCTTTTCTAGAAATTGTGCATAATTAAGGCAAAGGTCTACTTTCAGAAGTTGTGTTGTGTAGGTCGAGGCAACACTGCCCATGTTAACCCCTCGTCAAACATCAAGGCAACACTATGAAAATGACTTGATTTTTTTCTTTTTATAGTTGGTACGTGTGTATTATACCTAACAGCATACTTCAGGAAGTCTTGACGCCCATTCTGAAACACCTCATTCCCTGACAAACTGCAGTGTTTTGTTTTCTTCACGGCGTTTATCACTTGAGCTGTCCTAGTATTATTTATTTTATCCAATTAATGTCCCTCACCCTTACTGGAATGCTTGCTTTCCCCGGTCAACAGTGTTCCCAACACTTATTAGTTCTCCAATTATTTTTGTTTTCATTTTTGTAATGAACTAGTGAACAGAAACTCCATTTTTAAGGTACTACACAAACCGAAGGGTGAAACGCTGGCTATGTCTCTGTGATGGGGGCCTAAGAGAACGATCTCAGTTCTCGGGGGAGGCCTTGATCTGGAGGAGGTGGGAATGTGGGGTGAGCTGGGGGGAAGAAGAGAGAGGCAGGAAGAGAGAGAGAAAGGGAATCTGTGGCTGTTATGTAGAACTGAATAGTAAAAAAAAAAAAAAAAAAAAAAAAAAAAAGAGAAGGAAGTCTCGGCCAGGAAAGGGAAGCCAGGGCGGTACCTGCAGGGTTGGCTCCGCCCGGCAGGAAGGGACGGGACTTGTGATGGGCGTGACCAAGTGGAGGGGTGGGGCCTGCGGCGCGGACCGGGGAGCGGCGGAAGATGGCTGCAGTTGTGGCGACGGATACACAGCTGATGCTCGGAGTCGGCCTGATCGGTAAGGACGCAGGCTCTCTTCCAGCCAGGCCGCGCCCCAGCTCCGCCTGGGTTCTCGGTCTGTGAGGCTGTCCTGCCAGGGAGGGGCGGACCTGGGCCTGAAATTCGGCCTCCTCACTGCCCGGACTGTCTTGGGGCCTGCGGGCAGGCGGGGCTTGAGGCTCTGGTTGATGGCCCGGCCCTGGGACTACGCGGTTGGAGAGCTGGGGCTCGGTTGCGGCTGTTTGCAGCTCTCCGGGAGTATGGGTGACGCCCCAGGAGCCCCGGGGTGCCATTGGCAAGACACCCCAGGAAGTGGTGGAGCCAATTTTGGAACCCGCGCAGGGTGACCTCGAGCCTCCACTTCCACGGTGAAGTACTTGGTATAAGTTGATCCAGATATCCCTGCTGCATGGTCACATTTGTAACCTCGTCTAGTTTATAGGAATTCATGGTGAGGAAGTTCATAGGTATCTTTGTGTGTGAGTTTTGTACAGCCCAAGCAGGCAGTAGGTGACCACACTGGACTGCACGAATGAATGAACCTTTATGAATTCATTTGAATAGTCTCGCTCCTGAGGTTCTAATACACCTAGACACTATCCTTCCTTGAAGAGTACAAGCGTGTTGCTTAGGCTTAGCAAATAACTGCACTGATTATTTTTCAGAAGTTCAAAGGAGTGTCTTTATCCTGTATTCATTTCTTCTTTCTATGTAAAATTTTATTTATTTTGCATGAGTTTTTCTCTGACTGTGTTTGACACCGTGTGCATGCCTGGTGTCAAACGGAGGCCTGAAGAGATCATCAGATCCTATGGAATTGGTGGCACTTGTGAGCTGCCATATGGGTGCTAGGAATTGAACCTAGTCCTCTTAAAGAACAACCAATGCTAATTCTTGACCAGCCAGTGCTAACTGCTGAGCCATCTTTAGCCACCTTGTACTCATTTCTAGTGTGATTTTTTAAAATTGCTTGAAAACAAAACCTAAGTATCTCAGGCATCTTGGACTTGTCAGCACTTCAGAATTAAGGTTGAGTTAAACTGTGAAGATCAGAATGACTTACAAACAGCCAAGTGATAGTGGCAGGCCTTTAATCCTAGCACTCGGGAGGCAGAAGCAGGGAGATCTCTGTGAGTTCAAGGCCAGCCTGGTCTACAGAGCAAGTTCCAGGAGACAGCTAGGGCTATGCAGAAAAACTCTGTCTCAAAAAAAAAAAAAAAAGAAAAGAAAAGAAAAAGAAAAAAAAAAAGACTTAAAAACATATTTGCCCGTACAACAGCTCTTTAATTTTTATTCTGGCACGATTTAAAAGGTAGTTACTTCTAAGCTGGGCAGTGGCACTGCAGAGGTGGCTGCAGGTGAATCTCTGAGTTTGAGGCCAGTCTGGTCTACGTAGTGAGTTCCAGGATACCAGGAGCTACACAGGGAAACCCTGTCTCAGGAAAATAAAGATACTTGTTTCTAAGTAAAGAGAGTATCAGAGGCACAGTGACACAAATCTATAGTTATCAACTACTTTGGGGACTGAGCCAGCCCCTCAAGTTCTTTATTTCCTTTTTTGTAATTGAGATGTTTGTTTTGTTGACAAAATTACACTATGAATGGATAGCTTTGATTATTGTTGTTCTGAAAACTTGGCAGAGCTGTAGAGCTCTTGCCTAGCTTGTAAAATTCATGGGGTTTAATCCCCAGCAAAAAGTGCAAAATTTAAATCTAGACTGTATGTGTAACGTGAGTTGAAGGAGGATTCATTATCTCCTTCACTGTTGCGAAAGGGGAATGAAGGATCAAACCCAGGGCTTCAAATGGCTCTGCCTATATGCTTAGACCTCTCCTTTCTCCTTCTTAAGAACCCTTTCTATGTATTTTAATTAAAGATTCTTCCTGTTGCATACAAATATAAGCCAATAAGTATTTTTGTAGGAGAAGATAGAGAATCTTAACACATATCTAAGGCTAGTTTTTTATTACAGTTTTATTTATTTGTGTATGTGACCATGTGGCAGGCTTGTCTATGTGGAGGTCTGAGGACAACTTGTGGGAGCCAGTTCTCTCTCTTGACTGTGTGTGTGTGTGTGTGTGTGTGTGTGTGCGCGCGCGCGCGCGCGCGCGCGCGCGCGCGCGCGCGCGCTTGGGGTCAAACTCAGGTCACTGGACTGCATAGCAAGCACTTTTACCTGTTTTTGGTTTGTTTTTGTTTTTGTTTTTGGAGACAGGGTTTCTCTGTAGTTTTGGTGCCTGTCCTGGATCTCGCTCTGTAGAACAGGCTGGCCTCGAACTCACAGAGATCCGCCTGACTCTGCCTCCTGAGTGCTGGGATTAAAGACAGTGCACTACCACTGCCTGGCACTTTAACCTGTTTTACTTAGGTGACCTAGAACTAAAATCATGAATCTGCCTGGCATGCTGTTGCATGCCTGTAATCTCAACTCTTGAGTGATAGGGTTAGGAGAAACAGGAGTTCAGGGTCACCTTTAACTACATAGTTTGTGACTAGCTTTGGTGATCACAAACAAAAACAACCAAATACAAATCATGAGTTCATACGATGTTTGGTCTCAAGTGCTCTGAGTTGCTTTGTAAAGTGGGTTGTTACAACTGATTCCACAAAGTGTTTGAGTAACCAATCAATTCACTTCCTTGCCGCTGTTTGACATTCTCACAGTGACCATCTTTCCACCATAGAAAAGGACACTAATGGAGAAGTTCTGTGGGTGTGGTGTTATCCTTCCACGACAGCCTCATTAAGGAATCTGCTGCTCCGAAAATGCTGCCTAACAGATGAAAACGAACTTCTCCACCCCTTTGTCTTTGGTCAGTACAGAAGAACATGGTTTTATATCACTACAGTTGAAGTTCCAGATTCTTCAGTTTTGAAAAAGGTATGACTGCCTCAAGGTTTAAAAAAAAAACAACCCAATATATCTGAAGTGATTTAAGAAGATAAGCTGTAGACTCTGTCTTTCACAGTACACACTTGAAAGCATTGAATATTATTTTCATCGGAATTGTTCCCTTTTACACTCCATCATTGTATGAATATTGATATCCACTGTGGTTAGTTGAACGCTCAACAGCTTGAGGACATGTAGTCTCTCTTTATCAGAGTTATAGTCTGGTGGACTAGAGATATTTAGGCAGTTTTAAAGCCATATTGAATAAAAGTGAGATATGTTTTCCATAATTAAAATCTGTTTTAGGGCTAGGTATGGTGTCTCACACCTTTAATCCCAGCACTTTGAAGGCAGGTGGGTCTCTGAGAGTTTGAGGCCAGCCTGATGTCCATAGGGAGTTTCAAAAACACAAACTATTTTAGAAGCTGGGAATGATGGCACATGCCTATAATCCCAACTCTTAGAAGGCTCAGGAAGGAGGATTGTCAAGTTCAAGACCAGCTTGAACTATGTAATTCATTTTAGGTTAGTAAAACTTTAAAAAAATTTTTAAATTTATATGTGTGTGTGTGTATGTGTGTGTGTGTTTTGCCTGAATGTATGTCTGTATGAATGTACCACATGTGTGTCTAATGCCTGCAGAGACCAGAAGAAGGTGTTAGATTTCTTGAGACTGGAGTTAAAAACAGTCATGTATGACTGTATAGGTACTGGGAATAGAACCCAGTCCTCTGAAAGAGCAGCCAGTGTTCTTAACCACTGAACTGCTTCAGTCCCTTAAAAACATTTTTAAAGACTATAATTATTCTTGGCAGAGTTAAGATTTTTTTTAATTTACTTGTGGATGATAAAGATACATTATGAATTTAAAATGATTATTAAGAAAATCTGTGTCATAATTAGACTTTTATTAGTATGTTGTTTTCTATGAGTAGTAAGTATCAGTGTGACCTGGGGAATAAGTTATGTGGTTTCCTTTTTGTTGTTGTTTTGATTTTTTTTTGAGAAAGGGTTTCTCTGTGTAGCCCTGGCTGTCCTGGAACTTACTCTGTAGACCAGGCTGGTCTTGAACTCAGAGATCCCCCTGCCTGTGCCTCCTGAGTGCTGGGACTAAAGGTGTATGCTACCACCCAGCTAAGTTACATGGTCTCTAACTTCAAGCAAGCAGAGTTTTCAAGAGAAAGATAAGGAAACAAGTTTCTGAGTCTCTGGCACATACATGGGGTGCCTCTTTTCACTTTTCAGAGTTAACTTTTGAGCCATAATGGAACAGTATGAAGTATGTCTAGAATATAAAGAATAGTATTAAAAACTAGGGAAATCACTTAGAAAGAGTTATAGGGTTCTTAGAAAATGTAAGTTTGGAAGTTTCAATGTATTATAAGATCTTTGCATTTTGTTCAGTAAGTACTTTTTCTCTTTGGTTTGTCTTGAGACAAGGTCTCTTATAGCTCAGGCTGGCCTCATACTCACTGTGTAACTGAGGCTGGCCTTAAACTCCTGATCCTTCTGTTTTCACTTCCCAAGTGCTTCCATTACAGATTTGTGCCTCCATGACTAACTTACTTGTATTCACTTTGGTAGGTTGGTTGTTTCTTTTTCAAATTTTATTTTTACTTTTATTTGTGTGCATATATGCCCATTTGAGTACAGGTGTCTTCAGAGGCTAGAAGAGGGCATCATACTCCCAGAGGTGGAGTTATAGGCAGTTGTGAGCTGCTCTGTGGGTTTAGGGATTCAAACTTGGGTCCTCTATAAGAGTAGCAAATGCTTTTAATTGATAAGCCATCTCTCTATCAGTTCTTTCTGAAAAATCTTGATGCATCCATAAGTGCATGTGACCCATGTTTTGGATTATAGACTCCAAGTTACAGCAGCATTCATATCACATCTGTGGTTCAGATTTCAAAAATAATATTTAGAATAGTCCAAAATATGTGTTTTTCAGCAGAACACAGTGGCATACACATATAATCTAGCACTTGGGAGGCTGAGGCAGAAGGTCTCAAATATGAGACCAACATGGGCTACATAGTGAGACTGTCTCAAAATAAAACAAGGATAAACAAGTGAAGATTTTGACATTTTTGGTCTTTTCTTTTTAATGCAACTATGTTGTGTTCAAGAGGTTTGTTAGAATAGAATAATACTATAATCTGTTACAGTAAGTATCTATTGAATCCTATTCAAGCATCTTTAAAAAGCATACTTTTGTTTGTTTGTTTTTTTTTGGACAGGTGACTCATTTTTCTATTGTTCTGACCGCCAAAGATTTTAACCCAGAGAAATATGCCGCCTTCACTAGGATATTGTGTAGGTCTGTATGAAAACTGTGTTAAATGCTAATTCACCAAAATGAAGATTTCATTCAGTAGTGACTCAGCAGATGTCCACATGAAGGAAACAAATTCAGTCTTTAGTCTCCCTGACTTAATCCATGTGGCTTTGCAGAGGCTGATTTGTAAAGAGGGGCTTTGTCTTTGCTGTGGATTTATCTTCTGATTTGGGGAAATGGGCCAGGGGAAGAGAAAAAGCAGTTTGTCTGGCTTTTGTAGTTCCTGGGCATCTCAGATTACTTGGCCACTTTTGGTTTGTCCCAATCTTTCTTTTATATATATATATATCTTATAATATATATATATATATATATATATATATATATATATATATATATTAGGGACATTGGCTTTTTAATGATGGCTTTTCCAAGGTTTTAGTTTTCCTGTTTTACTAGTATCACTACATAACATGCAATTATAAATGTTATGTGTGTCAACTCACTCACCCAATAGTTTTGTGAAGAACTGAAGTGAATTTTTGTGTTTCTCACTGTAAGCCTAATAAGTAGTTTTTTTGCCTTTTTTACATATGTACCTCCCACACGTGGACATGCACATCAAAGAAAAAAAATGAAAAATGAAACTCCATTACCTAAGAGTTTCAGTTAGATTGTATTTTAACCAAATGAGGTTTTACTGTTTATGTAACTAACCATTCTACAAGACCTGCTGCTGCTCTTGTGGCACTGACATAGGGGAGGTTGTTATTGATAGAAGAGCCAAGGTCCAGAAGCTATAAACTGAAAACATTGTAGAGGTGTTTTCTAAAAAGCATGAGGCTCCCATTGCATCTGATTTACCTAGTCAGGGCTATTTACCCAGCTGAACTGAACAGGAAGTATTTTGGAGTTCAGAAGGCAGCATTGTTTCAGATGCGACTTCCAATTCAGGAAGCCTAGAAGTTGCCTGGTTTCTGTAGTGTATAGTGTTTTGGTGTTCTACATCCTCCTCCTGTCAGGGGGCAGAAGGAATGAGGACTCAGCAATTGCCAGCCACTTCCTGTCCTCTGTTCCTTCCTGCTTCCCTGTGCTCAGCTCTACACATGTGCTCGTGCATAATTCCTCCACATGTCCCCACACACACGTGCCTGATATCATTGTACACATTCATGGACAGATACTTTTTCATGATGATGAGGCAATTGTGGAGGACCTATCTTCATTTCTGGGGAGAGAATCAGCCAGGTGTGCTTCCTGTGACATACAGCAGAGGCCACTCAGGAAGGCTTTCGTCCCTGGGGTGGCATCCTTTGCCACCCCTCCCTTGATCCTCTAGTCCCTGCGGTTAATGGGGTTTTTGTGCACACCTAGAATCTGCTGTACTTGTCAGGTGTGGCAAGCCTGAGGAATGCTGTCTAAACATGGTCCTCTGGGCTACACTGCATGGTTCTCCCACAGTCTTCAAGGGGGGTGTTCTTTTCTGTCTCTCATAGCCTAAGGTTTCATCTCATCAATCTTATGTTTGACTTCTCCATTACTATAATTGGTGTCTGTTTATTATGTTGATAAATTTTTTATTAAGAAGCACATAATAAAAAAGTATCAGTAATACAGGAGTCTACAATAAAATTCAAGATTCCTCCTGCCTCTTCCCCACCCCCAGTTCATACAATCCCTGCAATATCCTCTCTTTGTATAATCTTGTGTTTGAATTAGTGGGTCGGTGGCCGTACCTGAGAGCTCACAGTATTTATTGTTTCCTACCTTTTTCTCAATTTGTAGCTTGAAATAGTAAGCATTTAGTAATAAGTTAAGCTAGGTTTTTTTCCCCAGTTAGTCTACAGTAAATATAATTTTCAGGTAGTCAGTTGTAAAGTTCAGTTTCCAGTTTAATTTTCTCAGTTTTCTATTACATTAGCTGCTGAAAGCCCCAAGTATGCCCATTAATGTCTTTTTATTCTTTAGTGCTGTGGATCAAACTCAGGGCTTCAAGAAAGCTAGGCCTCCCCTTGACTACTGAAGTATACCACTAGCCCCAGTGAAGTTTCTCAAGCAAAGTATAGCTCTAAGCCTGACTTGGTGGCTTAGGTCTTTAATCATAACACTCTGAAGGCATAGGCAGGTGGATCTCTCTGAATCTGAGGCCAGACTGACCTACTTGGCAAGTTCTAGGACAGCCAGGACACAGAGGACACTGTCTCTAAATAAATAAATAAATTGCTGGCTATAATGAGTAAATAATTAAATAAGAGAGGAAGAAGTAATCTTAGTTGCTCAGAGAAAAGGATTTCAAGGGAAAGAGACTCAACATGTGGCCTTTATAAATGCATCTGGCTTCCCCATCAGTGTTTTTTGAAGTTTTAACTTGATGACTGATGTCTGTGTTTATCACTGGAAATTTTAAAGAGCATGGATTTCTTAACTATCTAAATGTAGTTACCTCTAGTATCACTTATAATAAGCATGGGTTCTATAGCACTGTTTTCTCTGTGAATGATGCTTTGAGTCTTGTCAAAGAAAGTTGGGACAATAAAACAGTTGTGTGACTGAGAACACCAGTTGTGAGTGTAAGACATAAAAAGAAATAAGAATACAGTATTTCTGGGAGTAACACAGCTTTAGGAATCCACTGTTAATTTCTCCCGTATGGGGACTACATCTCCAGATGGCAGGAGAGAGCCTTCCTCAGAGGAATGGTCCACATCTGTCAAGTGTTGTATTTCTTTTTTTTTTTTTTTTTTTTTGGTTTTTTTGAGACAGGGTTTCTCTGTGTAGCTTTGCGCCTTTCCTGGAACTCACTTGGTAGTTCAGGCTGGCCTCGAACTCACAGAGATCCTCCTGGCTCTGCCTCCCGAGTGCTGGGATTAAAGGCGTGCGCCACCACTGCCCGGCTAAGTGTTGTATTTCAAAGTAAATTAGAGAAGAAATGCTGTGGACAGGTTTGGACATTGGAAATGCTGCCAGGTTACTTTATAATTGAGAAAGTACCAGTGTTTAACCTTGGTGCCTTTCTCCACATTACCGTACTTCGGAAGAAGCATTGTCAACCTTTTTTTCCATCTCACAGAATATATCTGAAATATGGGAGCCCAGTTAAAATGATGGAGAGTTACATTGCAGTTCTCACCAAGGGGATCTGCCAGAGTGAAGAAAATGGCTCTTTCTTTAGCAGAGACTTTGATAGTCGAAAGGCATACCTTGCAGGCTCCATCAAAGGTAAGAAAGAAAGAAAAGACTGGGGTTTGGAGAGATGGCTCAGTGTTTAAGGGCATAGACTGCTCTTCCAAAGGACCTGAGTTCAATTCCCAGCAATTACATGGCAGATTACAACTGTCTGTAATTCCAGTTCCAGGGGTTCTGACACTCATGGTAAAATACCAATGCACATGAAATAAAAAAATTTAAAAAAAAAAAAAAAAAAAAGAGGCTGGGCGGTGGTGGCGCACGCCTTTAATCCCAGCACTCGGGAGGCAGAGGCAGGCGGATCTCTGTGAGTTCGAGGCTAGCCTGGGCTACCAAGTGAGTTCCAGGAAAGGCGCAAAGCTACACAGAGAAACCCTGTCTCGAAAAACAAAAAACAAAAAACAAAAACAAAAAAAAAATTTAAAAAAAAGAAAGAAAGAAAAGAAATGAAAACCCTGGCCAGCAACAAAAGCCCCAAGCCAAGGTCATTTTAACTTGCATTTCCTACACAGCAGAGTACATCATTTCTTATGTTGCATTCTGACTTAGAATTCTGTCAAAGCAAAATATTTTGTGACAACATTTTCCATATTGTGTCTTTTATAGAAATATTCTTTTAGCTAAATTCCATGGCTCACAGTCTCCACTGACTTCCATAGTTTTTCTTTCCTCACATCTTAGCCATTAACTCTTCCTGTTAGAGAACTACAGCCATGGTATAGTCTTTAATCCAGCGCTTAGCTGAGGAATTGACAATGACAGGCAGCCAAGAGCTAAGCCACAGATCTTGGGGTCCTCTGGAGGTGGAGCTGCCTCTCTTCACATCCTTTAACAGTGCTGGCTGGTCCCCATCTGCTGTCTTTAGTGGTTCCTGATCATTTGGTTGAGGTTGGGTGTTCTTTAAGACTTTTTTTATGATGCTGAAAAATGTTGGTTCTATTTTGTATTATTTGTTACACTTCTTTAGAAGTCTGGCATTATCTGTGTATCCAGAGTCCCCAAAGGGCATTGCTGGAAACTATGATAAACATCCTGGTAAGCAGATGATTAAACATACCCACCCACCATTTGAAGTATGTCTGCACTTAATAGCATTTGCCTAAATGTAGCCAGTATATTAAAAGTAGTTTTGTATTTATATGACAAGAATTCTTTTTAATGGAAACTTTATGCCATTATGTATTTAATGCAATATTATCTTTTTATTTTAAGACATTGTATCTCAATTTGGAATGGAAACTGTTATCTTACACACAGCATTGATGTTAAAAAAACGAATTGTTGTCTATCACCCCAAAATAGAAGCTGTCCAGGAGTTTACCAGGTACCATCTTTAATTACTAAAACGTGTAAGCTTTCCTGATAGTTGGAGATACTAGATGTTACTGTGTACTGTGTTCTGTTGCATATTTGATTAAAAAAAAAAAAAAAAAAAAGAGCATGGATTAGTCTGAGTAAAATACCTTTTTTTTTTTTTTTTTTTTTAAAGATTTATTTATTTATTATGTATACAGTGTTCTGCCTGCATGCCAGAGGAGGGCACCAGATCCCATTACAAATGGTTGTGAGCCACCATGTGGTTGCTGGGAATTGAACTCAGGACCTCTGGAAGAACAGCCAGGGCTCTTAACCTCTGAGCCATCTCTTCAGCACCCGTAAAATACCATTTTTGTGATTCAGTTTAGAGCTAGTAGTTCAGGGTTACTGAATTTGGAAAGATTTTTATTCAAATTTAGAAATAAGGCACTTGGAAGGCAAAAGTTGCACTTGGGAGGGAGAGGCAGGTGGATCTCTTGAGTTTGAGGCCAGCCTGGTCTACAGTGCTAGTTCTAGGATAGCCAGGGCTACACAGAGAAACCCTGTCTTAAAAAACAACAACAAAATAAAGACCTGCAGATGTGCACAGATAGACAAGAACATCCCAGGGGAGGAAAGGCTCTACTTAACATTTGTTTGGTATATATGCTTATATGGGTGGGTGGGTGCTTGGAGTGGTGTATGTGCACACATTCCTAAAGGAGTACTGATTACAACTGTTTCTTTGGCAGATACAATGAGTTAGCAAACTTTTGCTTGAAAGAAAGTAAGTAGTTTAGGCTTGGGGCTGGAGATACGGACTCAGTGGGTAAAAGCACTGGCTTCTCCTCCAGCAGATCTGGGTTTGAGTCCCAGTACCCAACATAGTGGCTCTCAACAATCTGTAACTCCTTGGGCACCAAACACACATGTATTGCATAGACATGAATTCAGGTGAAACACCCATACACATAAAATTAAACAAATGAAAATTAAATATATATGTATATATATACACACACACATACATATATATAATAAGTAAATATTTTAGGCTTGTGAACCATGTGTCTTTGCCAGTTTCTTAGCTGCCTGGCTAGCAGGAAAGTAACCCTAGACAATATGTATATAATGTGAGTGAGCATGGCTGTGTCAATAAAACTTTATTTTCAAAGTTAGACAGCTAGTCCATGAGGCTGACCTCCGTTTTAAGTAAATTGTCCCTTTGATTCAGTTTTACCTGACTGTCATTGTTAGTGGTAAATGGGGTTAGGGGGTGGAACTTTTTGTTTACTAAATCTAATTCATTCTTAAATTCATTTGTTTTAGCTTTATTTAATGCAAATAAATGGGACACCTTAAATTGTTAATCTTACTCATAATAAAAAATGCAAGGACGTAGCATTCTTATGCTTTATGAATGAGAAAAATGAGAGGCTAAGTGGTGAGATTATGAAAAGGTGAAAAGGCTTTGTAGACCCAAAGTCCTGGGTTAAAATCATGAAATGACAGGTTGTTAGTGTGTGGCCACATGGAAGATACTGGCTGTTCTGAGTCTCCATCATTTTAGGATCATAATACAAAGTTAATGAGCTTGTTTCCAGTACTGGAAATAATTTATATAATGTGCTTTCCAAGTGCCTCACCCTTTACGCCTGCTTTAAAATGATTTATACATGTCACCAAACCTGGAGTTGTGTTTGTCCTGTCTAAGGTGAGAGGGCCAGAGTTTTCACCCTGTTCCCTCTGTGGTTGACCTTTACCTCATCACCTTCCTGTCTGTATTCTTAAACTGGAGTATCCATAGCTTCTGAAATGTGGTTTCCTGAAGCTACTCACACCTCTCTGCGGCACTTGTTTTTAAAATTTTTGTTTATTTTCTGTGTATGGGTGGTTTGCCTACCTGTATGTCTGTGCACCATGTCTGTGCCTGATTCCTGCAGAGTCCAGAAGGGGGCATTGGATCCACTGGGACTGGAGTTATATATGGTTGTGAGCTCCTATGTGGGTGCTGGAAATTAAACCTGGGTTCTCTGGAAGAGCAGCCACTACTCTTAACTGCTGAGCCATCTCTCCAGCCTCCTGCTTCAAGTATTTCTGTTTAAACCTGTGTGTTGTCTGAAAACAAACAACACATTTTGCAAGTTTGGCTAGAATTGTAAATATAAGTAGGAGACTTCCAGAAAACTTGTCTTGCTGGAACTAGTTTGGGTATCACCCCAAACATCTCTAGCAGTTTGCAAACTTCACCTTGAGCTTTTTGTAGCCAATCTGACCCAAAAAGTAGTTTAATATGTTGCCTTCTCCAGGTTTGGTGACATATACCTATGATCCCAGCACTTTGGAGGCTCTGGCAGGAGGATTGTCATGAGTTTCAGGCTAGCCTGGGCTACATAGTGAGTTCCAAGCTAGCCAGGGTACAACACCTTGTCCCAACACACACACACACACACACACACACACACACACACACACGCACGCACGCACGCACGCGCGCACGCGTGCACACATACACACACACACACACACACCATTGACACAACATTGTTTTATTGTCAAGTCTAGAGGTGTTAGTACATTTAAGGCTTAGTTTCATCTCTGTTCTTGAATAGCTATCCATAGGACTTTACCCTGGATGTTTCCTCTTGGGAGGAGAAGGAGCAGGCAAGTGTCCAAAGTGAAGGCCAGCAACTGTTTGACTGAGTTTTTGTCTTTATTCCTTAGGACTCTGCCTGCCCTGGTGTGGCATCGACAGGATTGGACCATCCTGCATTCTTATATGCACCTCCATGCTGAAGAACTAGAAGGCCTGCAAATGTGCACAGGTGCATGAAAACATCCCAGGGGAGGAAAGACTGCTTATGTTTATTTGGTGGGGCATGCACATATTGGTAAAATGAATAATGAAACTTTTTTTGCAAATACAATAATTTTTTTTTTCCATTTAGAGCCAGGTGGTGGCACACGCCTTTAATCCCAGCACTTGGGAGGCAGAAGCAGGCGGATCCCTGTGAGTCCAGCCTGGTCTACAGAGCAAGCTCCAAAGCTATAGAGAGAAACCCTGTCTCAAAAAGAAAAAAAAAAAAAAATCAAGTTTGTTTTTTTTTTTTTTCCATTTAAAAAATGTTTTTTAGCCAGGCAGTGGTGGTGCACGCCTTTAATCCCAGCACTCGGGAGGCAGAGCCAGGCGGATCTCTGTGAGTTTGAGGGCAGTGAAACCCTGTCTCAAAAAAACAAACAAACAAAAAAAACCAAAAACAAATGTTTTTTAAAAATTGTAGTAAAATGCACAAAATTATCATTTTTAGTTTTGGGTTTTTTGTTTTGTTTTGTGTGTGTGTGTGTGTGTGTGTGTGTGTGTGTGTGTGTGTGTGTGTGTGTGTGTTTTCCTGATGTTAGAAATTGATTGTAGGGCTTTAGGCATGCTAAGCAAGGACACTACCACTGAGCTATATTCTCAGCCCCAAGTTAATCAGTAATTTGATTTTGAGTGTTTAGGGTTTTTATTTTTGGGTTTTGTTTTGTTTTATGTTGTTTTTTGGTTTTGTTGTTGTTGTTTTTGTTCTTTTTTTTTCCGAGACAGGGTTTTTCTCTCTGTTAACAGCCTTGGCTGTCCTGGAACTTACTGTGTAGACCAGACTGGCCTTGAACTCACAGAGATTTGCCTGCCTCTGCTGGGATTAAAGGCATGTGCCACCACCACCTGGCTTCAAACCTTCTTTCTTTTTATTATTCATCCATTCACTTTCTGGTGCTGAGAACTGAATATACTGTACCATTTAACTATACTGCAGCCCCTGTTTTCATTTTTTTTTTATAGGAATAATCACTTGGATCCAGGACATTTATTGAATAATTTCATTTTTTAGTAATTAGTGCCACCCTTTTATGTTTTACATTTTGTCATGTGGTTTATTGGGGTCTGGCTTTCATTAGCAGGTTTTCCTTTTGTTGCTGATGTTTTTGCTTTCTTTACTTGAGAATGTAAAACTTCAGCAATGGGAAAAATGTTTATTCCCCCAAACAAAACAGTGCTAAGGGTATGACTCAGGTTCAAGCACTTGCCTAGCATGTATGAGGCCCCCAGCTCAGTACCCAGCACTGTAAAACAAACCCCTCATCTTTTTATAATTAACTTGCTCTCTGAAATAATCAACATGTGGGAACCATCACTCTAAACAGCACCAATTCTAGAAGTCTACTGATTCCCTTAGCAGACATTGTATCAGATCTGATAGAACTCAAAGATGGTCCCTGTGTCATCCTTGACAACCTAGACATGTGGTTGTGGTTTTCCTGGGGACAAAGATCTGAAATGAAGACAATGGTTGAGTCCATTGTGACTTTTGGACATCCTTTTTCTTTGTTTTTAAACCAGAGTTGGATTTTTTGTTAAAAGATATTTTTTAATATGTTTTATACATGAGGATTAAGAGAAAAAGAGAGGAGAGGCACAAAAAGAAAGACAGACACATGGGTGTGGGCTTTTTGGGAGTGGTGGTGTTTGAAACAGGGTTTCTGTGTAGCTTTTCTGTAGACCAGGCTGTCTTCGAACTCACAGAGATCTGCCTGCCTCTGCCTCCCAAGGGCTGGGATTAAAGGTGTGTGCCACCACTGCCCAGCTGGGGATGGACTTCTTTTTTTTTTTTCATGGAAAATGATGCATTAGGCAAAAATTTTATTTCCAAGTTCTTCAAAAGTTATTATAAACACAAACTTTCCTTCTAAAAGTATCCCCAATTAAATAAAAGGCACATCATCCCAATAAAATACTTGTGACATTAATTCTTTTAGGTTGTAATATTTTCACATTTTGTTTTCAACCAATTGCAATGTTCTGAATGTAGGTCATATTTTAAACATTTTTAAAGGCATAAGTACATTTTTAAGAGCTACAAACACAATTATAAATTTTAAACTAAAGAAACTAAAGAAAAAGCTAACCAACCTCACCCAGAATGGGCAATCTAACGCTACATCAGCCCTTTCAGTTGGCTAAGGAGCATCTCCCAAGTCTACTGTCAAAGTAAGACCATATCACATTAAAAAATAAAAACCGTTGTCCTTTAAAAAATCAAGATATCAATTAGTCCTCCAATTTTATATTTTCATTAAGTAATTGTAAATTCTCTCTTTTTTTTTTTTTTTTTTTTGGTTTTTTGAGACAGGGTTTCTCTGTGTAGCTTTTGCGCCTTTTACTAGAACTCGCGTTGGAGACCAGGCTGGCCTCGAACTCACAGAGATCCGCCTGCCTCTGCCTCCTGAGTGCTGGGATTAAAGGCGTGCACCACTACCACCGCTGCCACCACCACCCAGCAATTGTAAATTTTTATGAACAAATTTTATTAGAGTATAAAAATGTTAGGAAAATTACAAATACTGTTTTTGAAAATAAAATGTTTCCCTCCTAAAATGCAAACACCCAGTAAGTAAAACATCCTATATCCCAGGCAGAGCAACACAGGTTCTATTAGGGAAGAGGTGCATCTTAGTAAATTTGGTGGTGAGGTTAAAAAAAAAACAAAAACAAAAAACTGATTACTGTAGAATTTGGCTCTAGGAGCAGGCAACAGAAAAGGTGATTTGGCCGTTGAAACTGTTTTCTTGGGACGTGGCGTTGGTCATCCATCACCATGTTCTTTCCCGGAGACCTTTTTCCCAGTCTTCACAGTAAAGCGCAGGATCTGGGCTCCCAGAAGGGGTTGCTTCCAGCTGGAACCCCAGCAGCAGGGCATCCTTGCAGGCATTCTGCATGCAGTACTGCTGAAGCTCTGTGGCTGTCTGAGAGACCTTGATCCTCTCCACGCCAGCCTCCAGCTTGAGCTGCTCCACCAGGCGCTGCATGGTGTTCACGCTGGCCCTGGAAGACATGGCGGCTTGGGGATGGACTTCTTTAAGAGAGAGTTACCTACTTTCTGACATTCTTGACCTAAATAGCATTGACCAAAAAGTAAATGCTTTACTTCAGCCTTGTTCTTTCACATTGAACTTAAATTTTAGAATATTTTGAGCCATATGTATTTTGATTATATAGCACTAATAAGTGCCACTGGTACAGCTAATATTCCTGAATAATAGAAAACTGAAGAAAAGTAGCCAGTGAGCTATCAGATTGAGTCTCCTACTGAGACCTTCACCACAGGCTTTCTTTCTGCTCCAGTAATTTGATCAATTTGCAATGCAGGTTACATCGCTGGCTTTGTGGAATTGGAGGTGAGCAGCAGACCAGACCTCTACGATGTGTTTGTGAATCTGGCAGATAGTGAGATCACCATCGCTCCATTCGCAAAAGGTGACTTTTTCTTTCTATCTCTGTTCCAGTATTAACATGAGGTACAAGCCAAGCAAGCAGCTTTATGTTTTGGGCTGACTTTTTTTTTTTTTTTT